AATTCCCAGAATTCCCCAGCCAGCCATGCTGGCTGGGGGATTCTGGGAGTTGAAGTCCACATCTCTTAAAGTGGCCAAGGTTGAGAAACACTGGCCCAGGGGGTGCTATGGAACATCAGCACCCCCAGCATTGATGGTAACAGCCCTCCAACTAGATTTGAACCAAGAGAAGTGTCTCTGTGTAACCCCCTTCCAGAAGGTCGAACGAGCTCATGCTGCTGACATGAGCCCATCTGGAAAAAGGTTTGAAGAGGGAATGAATGCTGCAAGAAAATGAGGAGGGTTATCGAGCTGTTGGAGAAAGGAGGGAGCCAGCTTTCCTCTCAGTACCTGTACAGTGCTGCTGCAGACGGCGGATCTCGGCGTGCAAACCCTTGAGGGTGTCCGCATGCTGCCGCTGGAGAAAAAGCAGGTTCTTCTGGGCACTGTGCAACTGGTTCTCCAGGTTCGATGCTGCCATCCTGACATCCAGCAAATCTGGGAGGGAGGGAAGGAGGGGAGGGAGCGCACCTTGAGACCGAACGGAACGTTTCGCTTGCGCTTCGCTTGGCAAGAAGAGAACAAAACGGGGTCTGTGTGTGTATGTGTGTTGATCAGCGCAACCCTACTAATGCTAGAGAAGGCCGTCCCTGTGACTCATCAGCCACCTGTCAGGGTCCACAGAGAGCCAGAAAGTTGGAAATTGGGAAGGATTCTTCCAGTCTTTACCGTCACTGATATTCCACTCCATCTGCTTGGGATAACTGCGGTCATAATGGATGAGAGGGAGGGTGGGTGATACCACTTGGTGCTCTTTAGTTGAATTAATGTATTTATGGAATTCGCACCAGACAAACTTTGTAGTGGGGTTCAAAGAAGATATCAGCTGCCTGGAAGTGCCTGGAATAATATTCAGGCCCGGGACGTAATCCTCTTATCCATGGGAAAGCCCGCTGGCTCTGCCTAGCTCTCAGAAACCCAAATCAAGCCAATGTTCTCCAGGCCAGCAAAAACCGTCCAAAAGAAATTCCCAACACCTGCAAAGAGGTTTCTGGAGTCGAAGTCCTTTTTTGTGTAATCTCCTGAGTTTGTCTGACATCACCATCAACAGGAAGTGAATTTTATAGTTCCAGCCACCCCCTGGCAGTACTTGTATCCTTGCTAGATCAATGCAGGGGTGGAGGGACCAAGGCCAACTGAGGTAACCCCTGAGCAGCCCAAACCAGCACAGCTGATACCACCCGCAAAGCCAGGCTGGTGGAGATCCCAGATAAACCGATTACAATCCTTCCTCTCACGCAACAGAGACTGAAGGCAGTCAAGGACTAGTTTGGAGCATTGCTAAAGCAGAATGCTCCCAAATCTGTTGAGCCATCTCCATCAAGGCACAAGAGACCTCCTTGATTTAGGATCCTCACAAGGGCCTGGAAGCAGTTAGAATAGCCCTTGTGCGGATCCTAAATCAAAGGGGGCTCTCGAAATAGAGCAGCCTGTTCCTTTCAGAGCCTCGAGGCCTCATCCTTTGCAGAGGACACGCTTCTCGGTTGCATTATCTGTCTGGAAGGAGGCAGCCTCGTCTGCACAGCTGAAAGCTTTACCATATCCACTGATTCCTTAAGTGCTTACTGAATTCCCCCCCCCCCCCAATCGGGTGGCAGAGTGGGAAACCAGAGCAGGGTATGACTCGCCCATCCAAGGCAAGAAGAGGCTCTGTAGCAGGAGGGAGGGGGAAGAGAATCTGCTTTATGCAAGTCATGTGACATTAATTTTAGATCGATTCTCCGTGAAATATAAAAGATGCGCAGGGGCGCACCGATGGCTTCATCCATTATCTCTGCACCAATTCCAGGACATGCTGGTCTACTCATCCTCTGCTCCTGCAAACAGTTGACTAATGAATCTTGTTCTATTTAGCATATGTCAGTGCTGACTTTTCTACTTCTGCTCTCTTGGGCTGACGCCAACTTGGAGGGCGTGGGAGAGTCTAGCGTTATTTCCTGTGGTTTTATTTTTTTATCTTTAAAAAGCCCAGAGCTTGCAGGGAAGAGAAGTCATTAAAATTTGTTGCCCCCGGACCGCATAAATTGCCCCTGGAATCAGGAGACCCAGACCAACTCGACAGAATGCTGCAGATCGACTATGCGCTTAAAAACTATACTCCAAATGTGCTGGTCAGAGTTTCACAACAACCTGGAGGGCTCAAGTCTTGGGCCCTGTGAGCTTCAAAATGTTTATGAATGGCTTGGGACAATGAGATGAACTTATCATAGTTTGCAGATGACAAAACACTGGGTGGGACCGCAAATACCCTGAAAGACAGACATGAATGCAAAACCGTCTTGAGAGAAATGGGTTGACAACAACAGAAATTTAACAGAACAAAGGAAAACAATTCGTTTAGGAAGCAAAAAACAAACAGGCAGGAATAAGATGGGGGAGACCTGGCTTGGCAAAACGCGTACGAAAAGTAACTGAATACAAAAGGAAGGTAAGCCAGCACTGTCATGCAAAATAAAGGCAAATGTAATTATAGGCTGCATCGACAGAAGTATAGTGTCCAATCACAGGAAATAGCCGTTCCACTTCGTTCTGAATTGGACAGACCCCACTTCAGGTCTTTGGGCCTGGTCTGGGCACTGCACTTAAGCTTCCTAATGAGAAAAACAATTTGACAGTGGGACCAATGTTTTAAGGAAGTGGTGGACTCTCCTTTTGTGTTCAAGCAATGTCAGAAAGTCATGTGCTGAGGATGTTTTAGCAGGGATTTCCTGCTAAAGGGCATGGACTGGATGGTCTCAAGGGCCCTTCCATCTCAATTATTCTAGGATCTGAAGCCGTCCTATTGCAGGCTCAAATTTGGAACTATCTAGCCAAGCGATGCTACTTTGGGTGGCAGAAGGTCTCCTGTTACCCAAAATTTATGCCCATTGAGAATTTTACAATCGCTGCTGATAAAAATGTGATCAATCAATAAACATCTAAAATTGAAGAGGTAATGGATTACATCTTCCCCATGAAGGACATGCACCTTCTCGCTGAGATGTGCCCCCATCCTCACTCTCTGTTGGTGATCATACTTTGGGGACAGAATTACTGATCGGTCAGAGACCCAACCATTATTTCATCTCCACGAACCCCAGCCTCTCCAGTCACAGTTTTCTGTCTATGCCGACACAGCCAGGACTAGTTTCCCACGGCTAACTGGATTCTTTCCCTCACTAAAACCTGCACCCAAACCACGCAGAAGATGCCAGCCAGTTCTTAAACAAGATGGCAAATCCAATTGTGCAGGAGGGATCAGCCGAGAAGCCCTCCTTGAGAGCCTCCAAAATGCTCAGTCACTCCCCACTGGAATATAGCAAATCTGTACGGCTATTCTAATAGCAAAGACTATGACAAAGCACCAAGTCCAGGGACACAACAGCAGTGCCTCTGGGCAGACAAGGACATTCTTTTCCTACTTAGCTGTACAATGAATTTATCAGGTGCTTAAGAAGTCATTAACTGGCAGCCTCCAAGAGCCTCACCTGACGGATGCCAGCAAGATTATACCAAGTCGCCAGCGGCAGCAACCTTCACAAACTGGATTACAAGTTCCTATCGCGGCTCCAATGATCAGCTAACTAACGGGTCCTTTCCCCCCTCTCCCAAATGCTTAAGAATCAATCACCACCCAGGTCTTCTTGATATTCCTCTCTTGTGCAGCTCAGCGACTTGCCGCCGCCGCCTCTGAACCCATTTCCTGTCTTTCTTAATTATAAATCTCATTAAGTCATCAAGATCGCAGGCGGTCAGATGAGACCCTGCAAGGCAAGATGTGAACAAAAGCGGAGGAGATTCACCCACGCTGGCAAGCACAAGGCCACCCAGGCGGCACGGTGTACCTCCAGCGTTTCCCAGAAATGCTCTAGAATCCGTGTCTTCAGAGATCATGGGATTCCCAGGGTCCTGGCTGGCCTGGCCAGTACTGAGGAATGCTGGGAACTGCAGTTCTGCAACACTTGGGGGCCCATAGATTCTCCACCCCAATGCTAGAAGGAGCAGGCAGGCATTAGCAAAGAGGGTGAATTCTGAACCCTCCATCTGATGAATCTAGGGACTCTGCCCTGCAGCGTGGAGAACATAGCTGGGGGGGGGTTGCTCACCATCTATTCCTCGCCATTATCTGCCCCTCTCTCGTTAGCTCAACTGCCAAGGATGAAAGAACCATCTTAGCTGCAGGAGTCACAACTAATGAACTAATCAACTTGCCCAATAGCAAAGAACAGAGGGTTGAAGTCAGAACCTAGCTGCAGCAATTAGGGTTGATTCAGTGGTTTTCACCTTGCGTGCCAGGCCTCTTGCAAGTTATGGTCCACCGCATGTGGAGGGCTTAACTAGGTGGAAACTCCTGGCCAACCTTGGCTGATCCTGGTTAGTACCAGGAATGGAATGGAAACCATCTGGAATAGCAGGGCTGTTGAGTGGATTGGGAAGTTGGAGAAACGCCCCAGAAAAGGCAGTGGCAACTATTCCCTTTCACTGCCCAGAAAAATGCCAGAAAAATTTGTCCTTGCTGAGTCTAATTCCAACTGAAGAAGATTTTAACTATTTTACTCCCGGAGGGCACGAGCTATGGATTATTTTAAACTGGGCCCCAATATCACATACTGGCAAAAAAGTGCATCACAAACGCTTCCACTAAAATGCATCCTCGTTTTATTAGGTTTTCTGAATGCCGACTCTTGGAAGGGCCCTGTCAGATTTGTGTGCAAAACAAAGGCTTCAGCAGACCTGGGGGTATCTAAAGGTTGAAAGGGTTCTTTTTTTAAAAAGCTTTGTCCCTAAAAGATAGGAGGGGAGACAAAACAGGCTCTCAAGGGCCAGAAGACTGGCTGGGCTGCTCCGAGGGGTGGAAGGGGAAAGATCCAGCACAACTGCCACTGTGTTCGCACAACCGGATAACCAGGTCAGATCAAAGACTTAGAGGAGGCATTTGCGCAACGTACTGTTGGCTAATGTTAATTTGCGTGGTTCTTTTACAGCTTAGTTAATCAATAAGCCACACACATTCCCTTTGCTCACGATGGTTCAACGTATCGTGCAGATCCAGAGAAAGGGATAAATTCAGTCACCAGGCTAAGGCCGTTATGCGAACCTGGGTGGCAAGCACCCAGGCAGACAGATACACAATGTGAAGAAGTCTGGGAGTTCTGGCTCTTTTCAAAGGTTGTAATAAATGATTCTGAAACGGACTGTCCCCTTTTTAAATGCGACGGCTCCTTGGATCACACCCACAGGCTCTCGCCTTCCAATTTTCCAGACAGGCTGCTCTGGTCCCCCTCCAGCCAACCTCTGAATGTCTCAGGCCTTAATATCTCTGCAGAGTTATTTTTAGTCCCCGTGACAAGTCAGTGATGGAGCAGCGAAGGAAGAACAATTAAGAGGAGATCGTCTCTCCGGAGCAGCCGAAGGCACGGCAGGCTCAAAGGATGAGCTAATCCCGCCTGCTTTTCCTGCTTTCTCAACCACTTTCTGGAAGTCGGGCACAGTTGCCCGTGAAATGGGGCGAAGGACACACAGGGAGGGAGAAAAGCAGCATCAGGACTTTCCTTGTTAACTGAGGATGTTCTACTGACGCATCCCAAATTTGGGGGTGCTGATTTTTAAAGTAATAATTGCTTTGGATTGAACTGAACAGGTCCACTGTCACCCTTATTTTGGGAACGATACCAAAAGTTTCAGTGCCGCATTTCCCACGATCTCCTAATTTATTTTTTTCTTTAAGGTTATCACCACCATCCACAAGGAGCCTCTCTGTCCACTCCCATCAGCAAAAATACCCCTGAAATTTTAACCTCAGATGGATTTAGACTACAGGCTTCAGGGATGTAGCAAATCCACCCCCTTCCCCATGCCTGTGAGCAGCTGAATTTTTTAAAGTATCTATTTATAGCCCCATCACAATCCTTATCAGGGCAAGTTACAGTAAGTGAGTGCTTTGCAGAGGAGAGGAGAGAGGTGATGGTTTGACTGCAAAGACAGGAAGGAAGGAAGGAAGGAAGGAAGAGAGAGAGAGAGAGAGAGAGAGAGAGAGAGAGAGAGAGAGAGAGAGAGAGAGAGAGAGAGAGAGAGAGAGAGAGAGAGAGAGAGAGAGAGAGAGAGAGAGAGAGAGAGAGAGAGAGAGAGAGAGAGAGAGAGAGAGAGAGAGATAGAATAGTAGAAGATAGAACTAGTTGATGATACTAGAGTAGA